ATTGCCAGGGTCAATAGGTGAAGGAGAACGTTTATGAAACTAGCCATTCAAGGGGTTTATTAAGTGCCCCTTAGGTTCAAATAACTTTTACTGTAAGCAACTCTGGCTTTAAAAAAGAAGAAAAAAATATTGAAATATTTGGCTTAAACAAAAATGAGAATATCATTCTTTTTTCCCTTTCTAGTACCAAGCAAAGCACCCTGCCAAAATATTCAATCAATGTTTGAATATAATAGTAAAAAGTTCTCAGGCTTAATAACTAGCTCCCTGTCACCTCTGTTCCCACTGAATAAAGTGTTTGTAATTTATCAACCTCCCTAGAAACTGGGTAGGTTATGTTAAAGCTAAAGTGAACTAATCTTGTATGTCATCACATGAGTAGGAGAGAAAAAAAAATTAATGTGGTGGAAATGTATATGTTAAATACTTTGGAATGCTCTAGGTTCTAAAATGAAAAAAAAATTCCCCTCTATTATTTTTTTTAAATAAATTCCTTTTAAAAAATTTTAACTTTGTCAATCCAGAATAAACATATTTCCATATACAAAGAATAGAGAAAATAATTATATATGAAACCATGAATTTCTTATGTACAGCTTATCAAAAGAGAAGCTTTTAAAAAGTTTATTCTCCTCTGTTCTTCTGAGCAACAAGGGGGAAAAAAAGCAATACCATCAAAATTAAGTTGTCTTCTGTCTGTTATAAATGCTGCTCTGTGATTGTTTCTTGTTTAAAGTTGGGCTGGGGGAGAGAAACAAAATCATCGGGAAATCTTGTGAGTCCTCATTTTCTTGACTGTAATCCCAAGCTAACACGGAAAAAAAGACCAAGGTCCAAGGGAATATATTCAAGAATTGAACCTATAATTTCTAAATCCATTTTTATACGTGTCAGTAAGTGATGGGGAGAACAGAGCTGGGATGTAGTTAGTGTTAAACTACATCTAAATAATAAACAGTGACTAAGCAACAGCATATCAATTTCAGTGTTGAGTGTTCTTAAGGAACAAGTATTTGAAACTTAGTGACACCTACATTGTATATACTACCTGAAGTCCTAGAAACTTAGTTCCAGTTTTTGGGAACAAAATCTCATCTATTTTATAGTAGATTTACTTCATATAATAATGATCAAAACATTTCTTGGTAAGCATTCATAAGCACCTATGCAGCCGAAGTGGTATAGTAAATAGAGAGCTAGCCTTGGATTGAGGAAATTTTGAATTCAAGTCTTGCCTCTGACATATATTGGCTCTTGTGACACTGGGCAGCTCACTTGGGCACTCAGTACCCTGGGCAGATCTCTTAAGATTATAAGATTCAGAGCAGATACTTAACTGCATTGATAGAAGGAGCTCTTCATCACCATGATCTTCGTAGATCTGAACTGGTGTAAGCCTAATACTGTGAGTGCTGCAAGTGCACAAAGTAAGTAGAGATCTCAGAGGAAAGTCTTAGAATACACATCCTGGAAAGACTTCAGAATATTAAGGACTCTTAATTCTCACATAGAAGAACCAAGCAACAGTCACAGAGAAAATGAGAAACATGTGGCACATGGAGAAATTGAAGGGCAGGTTTTTTAAATGAATGGTGGCTACATGTTAGGATGTTCATAAATTTAGGGCTAGAATGGAGCTCATGTAATCCAACACCCTCGTTTTGTAGACAAGGGGATAAACCTGAAGAGTTTCAGGCCTTTGTGCAAAGTTACACTTGTAAGTAGCAGAGCTAGGATTTGAACCTGTGTCCTCTAACTTTCCTTTGTAACATGATGTCTGTCCTGTTGATGCATTGGTTTCTTTTGGTTTTCATACAACAGATATTTACTAACACACTTCACTCCACAATACATTCTCTAGAAATTTAAGCAAACTGCCAGATAGTGATTGTAACCAATGTCCAATTACTTTCAACTTTCATATCATATCAATTATTAACAGAAAGGGAGAATGTATCTTTAACTTACTTAGTATTTCGTTAACATTAACTATTGTATTTGAACTGAGTTATGTTTCCTCTCTGTGTTGGCTTTATTTGCATTGTTGTAGTTATTGTGTATATTATTCTCTTGTTCTACTTCATTCTGTGTCATTTCTATCAAGTCTTCCTGTGTTTCTCTCACATTTTCATTTTTTTCACTCTTTACAATGCAGTAATATTCCTTTACATTTGTATATCAAGTCTGTTCATCCATGTCTCAATTGTTGAACTTGTTTTGTAATTGTATGAGGTTGTATGTATCTTGATAGGTTAATTGCCAGATATTTGATACATTTTTATCTTAAATAAAATTTCTCTTCCTCTCTCCCTTACATTTTGTTAATAATATACAAAAAATAATTATTTTTATGGATTAATCTTCTATATTATTATTTTGCTAAATCTGGTGTCTTTTTTTCAGGAGAATGATTCTTAAGAAAGAATACCCCACTAAAAGCTAGTGGGGAATAGATTGTGTACACACAGGTGCTAAAAAAAGTGAAAAGTAAGGGAGCAGTAATTATGTACCCTGATTGGTCTTAGAAAGAGTTCCAGGAGGAAACGAATCTTGATTTAAGCCATCAAAAAAGGAAGGGATTTATAAATATAGAAAGAGGAGGAAGGGTTTTTCAGATGGAATAGCAGGAGCAAAGATACAGAGATTAAAATGCATGTGGTATGTGCAGTAAAGGGAAGAAAATCCACTTCACTATGCACAGTGTCTATGCATAAGAGGAAAGGGCCATCAATGCTGAACTGTTGAATTCAAACTTATTGGCTCAAAAATAGAAAAGTATTTGGAGTTCTTTAAGTAGAATAATGGTTACACAGATTAGAGAAGAAAGAAACTGGAGGTAGAGCAGAATACCGTGGTAATAGCCCAGATTTGAGGTGATAGAAGTCCAGATTAGGATGGTTATAGAAAGGAAGAACAAATCAAAGAGTGAAAAATCAGTTGTCTTTGTTGACTACTAAACATGGGTATCTAAATGATAGAAAGGGAAAAGTGAAAAATAACACTGTTCATGCTATTGACATAATTAATTTGCAAATTGAGGAATAGAGTCAGTTTGACAGAAAAGTTTTGCCTAAAAGGAAGGGAGATCATTGATCTTACAGCTTAGATCTTAGTTTTAATGGAGTTCTGGTTAGATACACGGTAGAATAAAACTAATTCTTGAATTCCAGATGGTTGCATACAAAAATATCAACTTGCATATGTACAGACATGAAAAACACAAGGCAATGATTCAAAAGAACTATTATTTTTTATCATTGTGAGTACTTGATTCAGTGCAGCTCAAAAACCCACCATTCCTTAGTTGATGGTTTCATGATATGCCTGTGACCAAAACAATTGATCACTTGGTAACCAACATTTTAGTTATGAGCCTCTCCAAACTTTGCTAGGCTGGTCCTCTGTAATGGGCATTATAATTTGTATAAGAGCATTATAATTCCTATAGTAGTAGATTCCAATAACCAGGAGTAAAAGCCTTTTCATCTTGGTAGGATCATTTAGAACTTATACTTCACTGAAATAACCTTTGAGACCTGAGGGTTACCTCTATGCCATGTTGAGGAGTGGGAGGATTTGGTGGAAACATAATGCTGTAGTATGAATAAAGAGTAATATTTTATATTGAATTTTTGTCTCGTATTGACTTCAGTGATTAGGAATCTGGGGGAACAATGTATTATAGTTACTTAATTTGAGCAAAACAGTTGTGAAGAAGACATTTGAGAGTTTTTTGGGAGAAGAATGGTCCTATATAGTAATGAATGATATATTTCTAAATTTCATGAAGATTTAAAAGACTAAGTAAAAACAAATTGTAGAAGCCAAATAGCATTTTTTTTTGCATTCAGCAGTTAGTAGCTGGGTATAATTTGCGTGTTGGTTGATTTTAAGTTGTTTCTAAAACTTAGTTTCAATTTTTAAAGAAATTATAGTAGATTTTTCTAAGTTTAGGTACAAAACATGGTATTTTCAAAACTAAATTTTGCATGAAAAAAATCACTTGTTTCACTATTGTCATTGTTATTATTTGAAAAACTCATGACTGTGTAATTTTAAAATTCCAGATTATAATAATGAGAAAAGTCAAAACATTTTGAAAGCATATTTCTTGAAGAGAAAGTCTTTTCCCATTCAGAGATAAAACCCACTGTTGACAGATAGCTATAAGCTCATCCTGTGCTGTGTTTTAACTAACCTAACCACACAAGTTTCTCATTTTCTAAAAAGGACCACAACTTCCATTAGCACTAATGGAAATCATTTATGTGCATAAAGAAAGAGTACCTATTGACATTAATTTATATGTTAAATTTTACTGTATGTATTCTACTGCATATCAGTTCTACTGTAACTCCAGAACTTATACAGATGTAATTTGAACCTATATTTTTCTCACATCATCATCATAATGGTCATATACAATTTTTTCAGGGTGACCTTAGGTTTGATTTAATGGATTTCCATTGTTGTAAACTTTTTTTCTCTAAGTAATAGAAATGCAGTGAATTCTTAAGTAATGTATTTTCCAGAATATTTGCAAATGTTGTTATGAAAAGTAATTCCATCTCCAGGCCCTTGTATTTCATGTGCTGAAGAAAGGCTTAGACTGCTTTTGATTGAGATTTTTCCCATTTTATTGAGCAGTGGTGTTCCGGGATCAAGCTGAATTGCACAGCATAAGAAAAGAGCAGTGAGCATTTGATGGAAGCAGATAATAAAATGCATCAATTGTGTCAGCACCTCGTTGCAGTCACATCTGGCTTACTGTCAGGGTCCCATTAGATTCCTGTGGTTTTATGTGCCAAAAATAATATGCTCTGTAGTTAATGGAACCAGGATATTTGCAGTTTGATTAAAAAAAATCATCTTATTTTCTTTCAGATCTCTGTCAGGCTTAAGTTCCATCTGAGCACCACCTTGTCTCTTTAAAATTTTACAACTGAGAGATCAATTGTTCTTTTGATCCATTTCTCTCTTTTTTTCCCCCCTTATTACAGTGACTCCAGCAGCCTCAGCAGCACTGATGCTGGTTTGTTTACCAATGATGAGGGAAGACAAGGTACTGAAATGTCATTAATTTTCTCCTCCTCCTTTTGAAAAAAAAAAGTTGTGTTCATTACAAGTTATTTTGTGAGTTGATGACTTATATAATCCATCTTACAGTAAACATGGCTTAAGAGACTTGAGGTTTCATTTCATGGCTTGTCTTTTAGGTGCTCTGAAGGTATCTTCATGTCCTAAAGCAATTAAATCCCTTGATTATCTCCTAAAGCTAGTATGTAAAGCTTGTAATATTAGGAAGGATTATCTTTTTTTTTTTAAGACTAGTATTCTGAAAGCTTTATGTACCTCAGTCTTTTCAATTTTGCTCCTCTTTTAACAAGTTCACAAGAGAGTAGTTCTCATTCTCTGATTACAATTGTCTTTAAAACTATTAAGCATTAATATAGCTGGATTTGCAACTCATTTGTCATTTTTATTCCGCTGTGACATTTATTCCTCCTATCCATTTTGTAAGTAATTAAATGATTTCCTTGAATTCAAAATTCTAAACCATGAAACTGAAATAGTGTTGTCTGTCTCACAATTTTTGTATCTACCTTGTTTAAGAAATTCCTGAAAGTATATTTTCCTGAATTTTTTTTTCATTTTCACATAACAATATTTTAAAACTACTCATCTTAAAGAAAATATGGAATAAATTAAATCATTCTTTAAGATGTGTTCAAGAATCTCACAGAAGTTTTTATGTTGTTGAAGTTGCACCTAATCAGCCCATTATTCCTAGAAAAGATGCAGGTTTTTAAAAAAATTCATTTTAAACATTTTGCGGTTTTAAACAAGCAAACAGTTTAATCACAACTTTAAAATAAACTGGAAGTGTCAACATATCACATTAACTTTTTTTCCAGCCCATCTATCCCTATGGTGATAGATTTGTAGTAAATGAATGAAATGATCATTAGTTTTATTTCTAGTATAAATTATTTGTTCTACATGAGTAAGCTTATGGCTAATTTCAAAGGTAATTTTACCCACTTGAAAAACTTATGAGAACTTTATTTTGAACTTAAACTTTTCAGCAAGAGAAGGTAGTAGATTCCAGTAGCTAAGAGAGAACTCTGCCAAGTGTCTTTCCACCTTTAGGTAAAGATTAACTAAATTATTCCCAAAAGATAAGTTTCCCCAGATCAGATCCCTGTAAATTTCTATTTATGTTAATTTTTAAAAATCAGCCTTCCAAATCTTTTAAAGGCTGTTAATCTTTGAGAAGCACAGAATAGTTTAAGAAACTTCTGTCTTTCCATTTTTTTCTGTCACTATGTAAGTATTATATTTTCAGTCATGTCCAACTCTTCATGACCCCATTTGGGGATTTCTTGGCAAAGATACTGGAGTCTTTTGCCATTTCCTTCTCCAGCTCTGTCACTGGTAAAAGCAATAAATGTGAACTCACTAAAATAATTCTTAGTGACAAAGTGACAAAATGCTTCAAAACTGTGGTCAATGATACATGATAATTTAGGTTTACACTCTCAGTGAGATCTCCAGTTATTTGAAATGACTTTACTGTCTTTTTTTCCCTCAATTATATGTAAAAACAATTTTTAACATTCATTTTTTCTGATTTGGAGCTCCAAATTTTTTCCCTTCTCTTCCTCCCCACTCCTTGAGAAGGCAAGCAAATTTTTATAGAGTATACCTGTGTAGTCATTCATAATATATTTCCATGTTAGCTATGTTACAAAAGAAAATAGGCAAAAAAAAACCAACAACAAGAAAAATAAAGTTAAAAAGTGTGCTTTAAATAAAAAAGCATGCTTTGATGTCTACAAATCAGACTTCATCATCTCCATTATTTCTCTCAAGGTGGATAGCATTTTTTTTTAATCATAAATCCTTTGGAATTGCCTTGGATCATTGTATTGCTGAGAATAGCTAAGTCATTCATGGTTGATCATCAAACAATCTGGATTCTGTGTTACTGTGTACAGTATTCTGGGTCTACTCACTTTACTTTGTATCAGTTTATATAAGTCTTCCCAGGTTTTTCTGAAAGTATCTTGGTTGTCATTTCTTATAGCACAATAGTATTCCTTCACAGTCTTAACCATAACATGTTCAGCCATTCCCTCAATTAAGACATTCCCTTAATTTCCAATTCTTTGCTACCACAGAAAGAGCTTCTCTAAATATTTTTGTACACATAGGTTGACTTGACTCTTCTTGACTAAGAAGGTGATATCACTCATTCAAAATTCAGTCTGACACCAGTGGTTTAGTTCAATATCTTATTTTCTAAAATTGACTTATAGAACTTAAATACATTATTAGTAGCAAATTACCAATTATTTTGGATTTACTCAATAGTTTTTTTTTAATTAAAAAGTAACTAAATAGACCATTTGAATCATGTCAGTGATTCTTATTATCTGATAAGAGAGGAATCTACACTGGTCTTATGATTTAATTGGTATAGGAAATTCTCTCTATCAATGCAGGTCAATACTTTTGTAATTTATAGTCTCAGAGAGTTGTCTAGAGCAATGATAGGTATTGGGGTTTGCCCAGGATCACATATCCTTTAACTCAGACTTTCTGGTTTCAAGGCCAACTTTCTATCCGCTGTGCCATGCTAATTTTGTATTATTTATCTCCTATTAAATTCTCCCTGTTTTAATCAGAATAATGAAAGTTATTAAGTTAAAAGCTGTGCTTATCACCTAAAATTGAGACTTCCTCATACCTTTCTTAAAGAAAAAAATTAAATTCCTCTCAGTTGAGATTTAGGATAATTTTTTGTATATCTTTAGTAAGATAAGACTTTGGAATGAATGAAAAGCTTGAGATGATTTTCATGGAAGCCAACATAAGTAAAGAAGGTTCTCTGAAAATCTTAGAGGCTCTTATGAAGTCCCAAATTTCATTTTAAAATACTGTATGCTTTATATTTTTTAGTAGTTATCTGTTTTGCTGTGCAAAGTTACATGCTTAGACATTTTAGACATCTCATTACCTTTCATTTCTTGTCTTTAAAAAAAGAGGGAAAAATCATTTCTCTCACTGAAGAAATATTTCTACCTTAATTTTAAATTACTTGTTCCCCCTGAATTAGACTTTTAAATACTCTCATACGTCATATTTGCTAGTTTGTGTTTATGGCAGTATAGCATAGTGTTTCTCAATATACCCCATGCTATTGTCACTTTTCATTTAAAATCAAGTTTTTCAAAACTATTTCTTAATGAACTTAATCAGATTAATTTCATTTAGTCACATCTGTTCATGATTGTTTCTCCTTTTACATTCCATACAAATCATGAAATTAAGCTAATTATACACCATTATCAGCTGCAAAGAACGAGTTTCACAGTTTTATACCTTTTAATTCCCTGCAGGAGATTAAGGCTTGTTTTTTCTTAATATGGAAAGGGTAGTAACTTAAATGGATTTCCATGCAGTTATTGCCAAAGGATTAACCAGTTTATTATTGTTTTTCACATTTCTAAATTGGTTCTAAAACATTACATTTTATGTGTTCTTATTGATAGCAATGCTTGTCATGCCATTAAAAACCATTCCTGGAATGGAGCTGCTGTGTGAAAGAAAAATAATTTTGTGGGTTTTTTTATAGGTGTGCATTCTCTTGATGTTAAACCTGAATCGTTGGGGGTGGGGGGTTTTTTGGTTTATTTTATTTGTACAGGTGACGATGAACAGAGTGACTGGTTCTACGAAAAGGAGTCAGGCGGGGCATGTGGCATCGCAGGAGTCATTCCCTGGTGGCAGTCAGAAGAGTCTACGGAACTAGGAAAAGAATTACCAGATCCTGTCTTTCAGAGTATCTTAAGTGGCTCTTTTCCTCTTATGTCACCTTCAGGCAGAAGAGGTCAGTAGCACTCAGATTCTGAGAGATAGGCCCAATGCTTTGTAGTCTACATTCTGAGGTGAATTATACGCTTAAGTATCTTATTTTAGCCCAACTGGTTCCAACCATCCTATTTTCCATTGCCTTATATTGTTGCTATTGATTATTGGTTACCAAAAAAAATCAGCTTTCACTTGCTTTCCTTTTTCTTGTTATATCCATATGATGGCAGTTAGAATTAAGGTCTTGTTGAGAGATGGGAGGAACTTAGGACATGAATGGACAATTCTGTCATAAGCCAAAGAGTAATCAAGAGTTGACTATATTAGAAATCCTCTTTCAATTTCTTCTAATGCCTAGTGGACGAATTTTCCCTCATACATGTCTTATTTTCATTAATTTTTCATTTTACACATGTGCATTTCATTGCTTTATGTATATCTGTATGTCTATGTATACATTTCTAGTCTCCAACTTCTGTGTATTTACTAAATTGATTTCTTTTGATTCTAGGTTTCCAGGCTAGACTCAATCATCTACATGGAATGCCCTCAAAGAATATCAAAAAATCTGGAGGAAATTCTACTACAATGGTAGGCAAATTTTTTTGTATTAATGGTCAATATTTGAAAATGTTCTTCTCTTTCTGTGGAATAAAAAGCCACATCCTCATCCCTTATGTCCTGATGTTATAGCTAAAAACAATCCGTTTTCTTGTAGGCTGCAAACTGGACCAGTGAGATTCCCCTATAAACCAAATCTTCTAATGCTAATTAATTAGTTACCGTTTTGAACATCTGGGGAATGACATTCGAGGGAACCTGGCTCCTGTCCTCTTCCCTGGAGATATACTATTGAAGTCAGAGCCTGTCTGGTGGAAATATGAGAATGTTTTTGCTCAAGGACTGGTATTCTTTCCTTTTAGTAAGAAATGAACCAAATTGAGGAGCTTTTTTAGTAATACAGGTTGGGGATGAAAGGAGGCAGAAACTACCATAAATGAATTTATACATTTTTTTATTCCACATTTCTTTTAAAATTGAAACTTTGTATTACTTCTTTGTCAAAATCCTTCCTAGAATTAGGAAATTTAGAACTCTTATCCCTGATCCAAGAATTCCATAATGTTTTATATTATAACCAATGCAGAATAAATCTGAATGTATTTGAATTGTTCTGAGTGAAATGTGATTTAAGTAGTGCATTGGCATTTATGGGTCCATATTAGGTGAAGAATTTTAACCAGCATAATTCAAAGCATCTGAGTTCTCAGGGTATTTTCAATAAGTGTCAAAGAGTAATAGTTAGGAATGTTTTCTTTTTAATAAAGTTCACATTTTTTACAAAATGTACATCCTATTTGAATAATTGGCTTTTTACATCTGTGTTTATTGAAAAAATATTGTAAATTATAGTATTGTTATATTGTATTATTGAAGTAGTCTCTGTACTTTTTTAGCCAGGGAGTTGTCATGATGCACCAGTAAAGACCATAGGTTATAGTATAGAAGCCACCTGCTTGGGGAATATCTAATATTACCTGGAGATTTCAGTTTTGTTTTGTTTTTTATCTTAAAAATTGACTTGAAAGCTGCTATTTTTAAAAATACTGCCTTTCTCCAAACAGATTTTTGGGGTTTAGATAAAAATGAGAACTACTCATCAAGTATCCATAAATCTGCCGGAAATGTTGACAGGGAATATCTAAAACCATTATGTAAACTAATTTTCAATTACACCAAGTTAAAAAAGTTACAGTATGTTTGCTGGTACATCCTTTACTTTTTGTCCAGCATATAGGAGCTTGCATAATTATAGTTGTAATTGCATCAAAGTAATTAACATTTATTATATGCCAACAACTTATGGTAATCATTGCTTTTTTATTTATATATAATTTTAGAGCTGAATTTTCATAGTCCAGAAATTAAGATCAATTTGAATTATTGATTGAAAATAATTTAGGTTGAAATTGCCTTTCCCTTACCTTTATTATAAGGAGAGAATTTAGCATGAACAATATTTCAGAATGTTTAACAATGATTCTTCTTTCTTATTTCTTGTGGAGGCTGAATAGAGTTGAATAATAATTGTAAAGCTGCTCCTGCAACTGAATATTTTTGCTTTTACTTATTTAAGTTGAACACTGATATTTTAAAGTTAATACAGGTATTTAAAAGTAAAATAATGTGGTTTTAATGATTACAACCTATTTTGTATAGACCATCATGTGTTATAGAGTGGAAATTCAGATGATTACTTCTGAATTATATATAAAAGAAGAAATTTTTGTGTAATGACTGCCTTTCAGATCTGAATAAGACAGTCTAAAACCTTGACCTATGAACTTTGCCTTACTGATCATGAATCGAGATGAATGCTGTGTAGTTCTTGGTGCAGTTCTACCTATTTTTATTTTTGGTTCACTGCTTGCTTGAGCATAGCTGGGATTTGTAGCCCATTTTCTAGGCTTATTGCAATCTCACTCTGGTATTTTATAGGAGCTATTACAACTGATAGGTTAGCTTCATGGTATTGATGATACATGGCTTAACTATACTAAAAGCTGCCTTCCCCCTCTAAATTGTAAAAAGGTGATTAAGTTTCAGTTGATGGAGATATACTGTATATATGTGTTTATAACGGGACTAGTGCATTAGGTCATAAACTGTTTCCCTGGCCTATTTTTTTGTATTCAAAATTTAGCTGAAGACAGTGGCTCCTTTGCTTGCTTTTTACCCCTTCTCTTATTTGTAAGACATCTTTTTGGGGGTTTTAATTGATATAATTTTCTTTTTTAAAAATGCCTATTTTGGACAAGAAAGTTCTGAGTTCAGATTTGTGAAGGTATATTAATAATATTAATTATTCTGTAATATTTTACTCAGAATCTTTATTATTTAAAAACTCAAGTATTTAAAAAGTGAAGGCATGCAGTATGATAATCTGTGTAAAATATGATAAACTCTTACACCAGAGATAAGTTTGCTTTTAGAAAGACATTTCTGAATAGATTTCAAGATATGTAGTGCTGACTCATTGAACAGAATAGCTCCTGATTCTGTTCAATCAGTGATTGAACAGGTTAGGTGAGGATTTTATAAATGGGGTTATCATAGTTCCTGTGAAAGGCAGAGGGGAAATTCTTGATTATCATATTAATAGAAAGCAAGAGTTCTTAATCTGTGGTCCAGTTTCAGGGGACCTATGAACTTGCATGGGTGAAAAATTACGTCTTTATTTTCACCAATCTTTGGTTTCCTTTGTAATCCTATATATCTTATTTTATGCATTTAAAATCATTATGCTAAGGCATCTGTAGGCTTTACCAAGCTACTGAAGGAGTCTATGATGCAAAAAAGGTTAAGAACTCCTAATATAAAGTAAAAAATATTTGAGCATTGGTCCACAAAGGGATAAGAGGAATTTTGTATCTATAGTAAATAAAGTCACTTATAATAACTAGCATTTGTATAGTTCTTTATGGTTTACAAAGTACCATTATGTGCTAGGCTCTGGTCATTTCTGTTTACTTGGACAAACTTCACCTGTATTTCAGTTGAATCTCATCTTTATTATGGACTGTGCAGACTTATTTTGATAAGTATTAGATTGAAACTCTATGTACTGGTTGTCACAATACAACTTATATTTTCTACCAGGCTATTCTTAGAAACTTTTATTTCTGTTTTTGTCAATTATGAAGTTATTCATTTTAAAAATCATCCATACTGTCATAATGATTTTCCTCTAGATAGATCTGAGTTTTAAAATGTAATGGGGAAAAAAAAACACATAAATCAGATGAAGTATGAGTAAACAGGGAACCCTGAGTGTTATATACTGAGAAGAATAAGTATTGTTCTTATTGCTTTAAAGGCTGAATTATCAGGAACTTAAGGAAACAGAATCCTCAACTAATGTTTCTCTTTTTCTCTCTCATTTCCACACCCAATTTTTAGAAGAGAGGGGAATTGAATAGAATAAAAATTTATTTAACATCTACTTTTTTGCAAGGCATTATGCTGAGGGATTTAGGTATATTATTCTCATAAATATATCCTCAAATATTAGCCTCAATTTGTAAGTATAATCCTTTATAAATATTGATTCTCACAACAATCTTGTGAGGTAGGTGCTATTATTATCCCCATTTTACAGTTAAAAATACAGGCAAACCAAGGTTATGTGACTTTCCCAGTCACACAGCTTTTAGATGTCAGACATTGGTTTTGAAGGCAGGTTTTCTGGATTCCAGGCCAAGCACTCTATGTACTGTACCATCTAGCTGCCTTTAAAGCAGTGGTATAAGTGAAAACTAAACAATAGAGATTTAAGGAAGAAAAAAACACTATTCAGGCGTGCCCTAGATTAGTTTGTATTCTGCTTCCTATACTGTCTACATTATGTTTCAGATGTTGTTTAAAATGGACATTTAGTAAGAATTTTATTAATCATCAGAGATTCACTTATGTGCAGGATTTTAAACTTTCACTAAAGCAAAACAGTAATTTTCAGCAACAGTTAAGGGAAAGGAAAATAAATTTTCAGTTGACTTTTGTTCCAAACATTGAGCTAACCAGAATAACCTATCCTGAAACACTCTACTTAAGACTTTACTGTAGTTGATATATTCTGTTGCTGATATCACATATATCTAGCTATATTAGCACCTGGGACTGGACTGACTGAAGAAAGAAATAGGAGTTGGAGGAAAAGTGAGTAGGTGAGTGTAGCAAAAACTAAATAAATTTTTGCCAAAAAAAAAAATAGAAATATGCATTCAAAGGAATTCATTAAGCCTCTAGGTGGTAAATTAGATAGCATGTATAGTCAGAAAAAGACCAGAATTCTAATCCAGTTTAGGACACTTATTAGTTGTATGACTTTGGGCAAGTCACTTAGCCTTTTCCTTCATTTCTTGATCAGTAACACGAGGATAATAACAGCATGTACCTCACAGAGTTGAGATGATAAAAATGAGTTAGTAATTGTAAAGCACTTTTCAAATCTTAAAGTGATATGTAAATGCAAGCTATTTTTATTATCACCAATAAGTCTGGTTTATTAAAATTTCACATTATTAATGTAAAACATAAAAAAGCAGAATTAATGAAAATGAACAAACACAGAATCCTGATGGAGACTTAGAGGGAATGGCCAAAATTCATTTATTTAAATGTATGTAGTTGTAAAATACATGTTATTGTTTTTATTGATCTTTAATGTTGTTTGTTATGAATCATTTCAAAAAAGAAAGTTTACATTCTTTAAACTGCTACTTTTAACCCATCATGAGATTAGGAAATTGCAACAGTATTAAGGCCATCTGGGTTCATAGCTACAGGTGTGGACATTAAGGCCATGTAATATAAACCTCTCGTTTTCCAGGCGAGGAAACTGAATCTAACAAGTGAAGTGACTTGCCCAATGGCACACATCTGGTAAGTGGCAGAACCAGAATTTGTGCCCAGGTCCTCAGATTCCAAGTCCAGCACTATTTGCATTCTACTATACTGAATTATGCAGTGGTTAAAGGAGGTTTTTGTTTTTAAATTATATGGTAGACAACTCAAGTTTAAAAGATTACATA